AATTTAGTTGATTTAAACTTGCGCTAGAAAGATTAGTAATTACAATACTCCTGAAATCTGAACTTGCTCATCATTGGTGTTTATACTTACAACATTAATGTTGAAGATTTAAAGAGAACATTAAATTAGAACAGAAGTTTACAGTCTAGGACAGATGAAGTCTCTTGTTTGAAATTGAATAATGATGGATAACCACGCTAAAATCCGGTGATCGATTCCCCGCGGTGGACATAGCGCAGATAGCCTGTTGTGTGGCTTTTCGCTAAAAACATCAACAGCCTGTAATTCGAATAAAACGTTTACGCACGGACGCAGTGAGGGGGGTGTGTGTGGAGTCACCCGAACCCCCTATTTTTATGATGTAAAATAATTATGCTGATACAGTTATAGCTTATGGTATTTAACGTTTTATACATAGTTTACCTTCTTCTGATGAAGCATTAGCATTTTATGGCTTGAAATAGTCACATGCCCCCAGACCTCTGTAGTATTGGCACAAAATATGTTGGCTTTTGATCTCACAAATTAGAACCCCCCCCCCTTTCAAACATTCTGCGTACGAGCCTGACGTTACAAAGCATATCTTAGCTTTATTTGTGGTTATTATATACCAAACATGATCTTTTTAATATGCCTAAAACTTTTACTCTTTGTTCGTCAAAAAATCAAAGCCATGAGTTTCTGTAGAGAGTGTACTGTAAACGCTGAGGGGTGGTGGGCTTATTAAAATTCTCATATATTATCTGTTATGAACGAAATCAATACACAATCCATTCAGCTATTTAAAGTAATTTTTAAATTTTAGTTCTAATTGTGGCTTCATATAATAAGGTTTTATAAAACTGGTTAATTGAAAGTAACAAAAATATAGGTAAAAGGAACTAGTTAAAGAAAAACTATAAAAAGGAGCATACAATCCAACCAATAAAAGTCACTAAAGATAAACGTTTGTTTCAAAACTACTTTTTACATATCAATAAGTAAATCTTAAATTTAAAACAGGAATATATTCTAAACATTTTTAGCCTATTTTATGTCATGAAAGTGAAAAAAAGGATGTTATAGCAAGTGAATGTCTAGAATCCATACTAAACCATTTTTAGTGCTACCACTGAAGTGGCACCTGATATTTTTTTTTTTTTTTTTGTCTTACAGTAGTAGTGCCTGAGTTCTGTGCTGTGTCGTCACTCTAAAGTAGGCACCTGTGGTTTGTCTTCTGTTAACATTAACAGTACCTGGGTTCTGTGTTTTCACTCTACAGTAGGTACCGAGCTTTGCCTTGTGAATTAAAACACAAGCAGATTTCTCTGGCTCATCATTAAATTATACTTATTATTTCAATCAAGCATTTTCATACATTTATTTCATATCATTTAAATTCAATTTCATGAAACACCATTAGGATTAACTACATTTATGTTATTTAAGTACATTGATGTCGGGCAGGCAGACGAATATTTCCGTTAAAACGCAGGTTGATGCATTGTTATGTAGAGAATAAACTGAAGACTGGGAGTAAAATAAAAACAAGCACGAATAAACGTGAAATAGAATCTTTATTCTCAAAAGTTGCTATATATTTTAACTAATGGCCGGCTTATAATTGTTTGTATTTAAACTGACTGCTGAAGCTGGACAAGGACAAAAACAGGAAGAATGCTGCTATACTGCAATTTTAAGTTAAATAAAGGCGACTTAATGCGGAATCACATAATCCACAGTTTACCTACAGTAACGACTATTTCAAATGACATATTCAAGGGAGAGGACCCCAGATCATATCCATTTGTACAAGTATCTGTGCCACTCCTTAAAATGGGCTTGCTCCACCCAAAGGAGTAGACACAGACATAGATAGTTGTTGCTATGTAACCTTAAACTAAGTAAAAATATAAGTACATGTTTGCGACCTTTGTACATCCTATTAACGATAACTTCGAAACCATACATACTAGCATGAAAATTTAGAAAAATTACCTAAATATACTTTACTACAGATATATTTTAAACTAGGAATAGTCCCCCAGTGGCACATCGGTATGTCTGCGGACTTATACTGCTAGAAACCGGGTTTCGATACCCGTGTTGGGCAGAGCACAGGTAGCCCTTTGTGTAGCTTTGTGCTTAATAACAAACAACAACAACAATAAACTAGATATGGAAAGGTTAAATTAACAGTTATTTAACTGCGATACTTTTAGCTACGCTCAATAAAATAATGCTATTCTCATAATTCGTATACAATTCTCATATGAACAAATCAGCACTCTAAAATTCATTGATAGTTAAAAATAATGTTCCATTACTTAACATATCTCAATAACATTACTAATGTCCGCTTCCTTCATTCCCAGTCTTCCACTCCGCAAGTACAAGGATATTTCAACAGAAGTTCACAAAGGAAAAAACTTTAACTGTAGATCACTGCGAAGAGACTAAAAAACTCGCTAAACATCAGTAACACAGTTTAAGATATAACGACTTTGAGTATCAGATAAATATTAGTTGTAATAAAGGAATTTGAGCCTACAACTTGGTATTTTACGAGAATGACTTGGTTAGAGCGCTTGCCTCGATATTCGTCTCCGAACGTGTTCGCCCTTTCAGACGTGGGGACGTTATAATGTGACGTCAATCCCATTATTTGTTGGTAGCTCAAGGGTTAACGATGGGTGATATTGACTAGCCGCCTACCCTCTAGTCTATCACTTCAAAATTAAGTAGCTCTCTTGTTGCTTTGCGTGAAATTCGCTAAAACAAACAAACGTTTAGAGGAGTATGATCCCAAGAAAGTTTCAATGGCCTGTATTTTTGTCGCTCTTTATTGTTTGAGATCTGTTTAAAACTTTTATCTGCGTTCACGTTAGTAATAAATAACTCGTTATGTGACCTTAACCTCAGAAATATCGAGGATTCCGGAACGTATCAATTTGTTGGTTACAAAATCCTTGAAGGCATTAGAGTCACACAAAATTGTGTAAACAAAATACTTTCAAAATTGCAATTAATCAATTACTGCTGCCCCTACCCCATCAAAATTACATAGGACATGAATGATCTCATCCATTTTGTTTGGTCAGTTGTAACAGGTAAAACAATTGTTTCCTCTACTGCAATATGTAGATTCTACCGGTGGATAACGGATTAAAACAAGGGCTAACGTTAAAAAAACATATTGCATGTAATAAAGATGATTTTACATTAAAAACGAAATTATAATACATAGAAACATACTATTAGTGCGCATGAGCGATTATTTGGAAAATAAAAAGCTGGTGGGGATTTGTGCGCAGTGGGTGTGTCATTAAAAACTAAGTTTTGGATTTACTATCCAGCTGCTGATAAAATATTGTAACCAAGTGCGACTGAGTTTTTTAAATATACATAATTTACTTAATCTGTATGGACTTCCTTAAAGGAAGACAAGACGTACGTTTAACAAACAAATCTAAAGAACATACCAATGAAAACGTAAAACTCACAAATCTAGTGTTTATAATTATAAGAAAAGAAGTTTGAAAATCACGTGGAAAAATATAATGCGTGGTAAACGTTTTGACAGCGTGGTTTTCCGGAGTTTTTTTTTTTTTTAATTATCATTTGTTACTTTATTTTTTAAACAAGCAAGTAACTCGGTTTCTAACTTTCCAGATAGATGTAAATATTTAAATGCGCTGTGGGAAAAAACATACATGTAAGAAGTAATTTTCAAAATTAACCTGGAAAAATTAATCTCGTTGTTAAAGAAACACGATCGATTCCGTGCAGTCCCGCTTACTTTCAAAGTGCACAGGGAATCGACTGAGACTCGATGCTACGAAAGGAGATGGCAGAACCGTGTCATCTTTTCCTCGCTTGTTTTTGCCTGAGGCTGAGTTAGCGCCGCCCATTGGTAGTTTAACCCACAACTGTGACGTGATTGGTGAAGTCTGCTATACAAGATTTGCTGGTCAAGGCCAAGCGTAAGGAGTAGAAAGCCTTACAATAAGTTGCACTAGTTTCTTCTGCCAGTTAGAACTTACAAGTAATTGTGTCTTCGTGTCCTAAATGAATTGAGAACTGTGGTATTCCTATTATAAACACGCCACCAGTTATTAGCAAACGAGAAGCTGTACGTGAACTCAAGCTACCGCAGTACAAAGGTCGGTAATCTCAGGTTCGGTGCTTGACTTCTTCTTGTTTACTAGTAAAACTGGTAACAAATCGAGAGTCGTCAAGAGAAAAGGTGAGTTTAGTTAGAGCTTGTCTGGAAATAGTCTTGAGAAATGGCAGATTTTAAGGGTGTACGATGGTCGAAGTGTGTTTTGTACCATTTGTGATAATATTGAAACTAAAGGAATGTTGACATTGAACCATGTGTCTGGAGGCGTTATGCTAGGATTTAAATTTTGGGTGAGGCTTTTGAGCTGCATGTGCACTCCCTGTCGCGTGGGTTCGCACCTTGCACGTGACAGATGCCTGTAGATGTTTCGTGTAAAACCTGAAAAACTATACTTGATCGAAATAGACTGTATTAAGTTACAATATTATTATATGTGTTCTATCCGGCATATCAACAATAAAAATTTTATTTTCGGTCATCTTCCTTAGGATATGTCCACATATTTAACAAAGAAAATTATATACACTTACCTGCTAAATACTGTGTATAGAAGAGTACATGTTACAACTTACATGTAAAAACACAGGTTTCAGTTTCTGCTTTTATTTCTTAGTTCACAAGTGACGTATGCTCAAAATTACACAGTTGAATTCGTTAGCGTAATTTAAGTAAAAGCTGACACAAATTTGCGTATGAGTTAATCCGTAGTTTATGTATTTATGTATCTCAGAAATTCAAAAACAAATAGTATAGCCCGGCATGGCCAGGTGGTTAGAGCGCTTGACTCGCAGTCTGAGAGTCGCGGGTTCGAATCCCCGTCCCACCAAACACGCCCTTTCAGCAGTGGGGGCGTTATTATGTGACGGTCAGTCTCACTATTCGTTGGTAAAAGAGTGGTGATGACTAGCTGCCTTCCCTCTAGTCTTTCAGTGCTAAATTCGGGACGGATAGTTTTGCGCGAACTTAAAAAAACAAGCAAATAGAAGGGTTTTCTCTCTCTGACAATGTTTTTGATGCGCGTAGTTATTAAATTTCTGGATAAAATTTCTATTTTATGTTTTATCATAAACAATATATTTAGTTATACGGTTTCAGTTATATTTAGATGAGAAAGAACTATTATTTTTTTTCCTAAGATGAACTTTAAAATTAAATATATAGCTATAACCAGACTTATAAGTAAAGTTTAAATAGTAAAGCTGAAGAACATGGACTGCTAAACTATTGATACAGAAGGCTAATGACACTTTATAACAACGACTTGCATATGCTAGTATACTGGAGTGTTGTACGAAATGCTATGGTGCCACAGACGACATGTTTAGCACTTATGTATGCACAGAGGATTGAGTACGTTATATTAAGACGATTATTTCAAATCTTCACCATATCCAGTAATACTCTATCTGACGATTATGCATCTTGAAAATAACCAAGCAGCGTAGTTTCCAATGCAAAAGGATCCGTCATAAGGTTGTCATATCCAAAGCACACCACCCCTTCCTGCTTACTTTTCATAATCCACTTAGTCTACGAGGGCAACGATTTCTCCCAGCATCTGGTCGCGCAGAAATCCATAGGCGCTGCTACGTCCGGCAACTTGACTGCCATGGGATATCATGAATACCCGTTTCATTCTCCAGCTGCTTGATGTATGGAAGGGTTGAACTAGAAGTATGGCTAGAAACCTTCCCTTGAGAACCCATACTCTCTTGGCATCGTTTTCAAACGGATATCCTACTTGGTTATATTGCGTACTGTTGCCTTGGTTACGTGGACAGCTTTTACCACTGGATTTTGTGTTTGTGGATTCTCTCCTGTTATCAGACGCTGCACTTTGCTTACAATAGCGGTGGTATAATTTGTTGCAGGTCTCTTAACTGTCCTGATGCCTCAAGTTGATCCTTAATTTTTGTTTTGTTTTCTAATGCCATTAAGAACAAGGGATGTCCTCGTATTGGAAGTTCTAAATCCTTGATCTGAACACATCTCTATGATCTGAGTGTCTGTATATTTTGCATCAGAAATAGTTATGTCAGAATGTAGTTCTGATACATACCATTTCTTTACGACTTTATATCTGCTTTGATTGTCAAGTAATTAGTTGATTTGTATATTCAAAATCGTTTTAATAAAATTTCCTTAACAATGTGCTTAGTTTTCACAAATTTCCTACCATTCGACTTGCAGTGTCATCATCGATAGCTTTTGGATAGAGGAATGTGTCACAACCCTATCGAGGAAGGATATTATCATAACGAAGCTGTTAAACAATATAGGGCCAAATGATGCAACATTTCGAAGAAAGGGGCCTTCGTTGTTCTCCATGAAAGCAGACAAACTCACATACGGAGTGTTTAATACAGCAACAGCTTCAAAATCGCACCCTAAGCCAGTCTCGAACAATGCCTTTCGGAAAGTGGAAGGCTATGGTTACAAAAGAGAACCCTTTGACACAAAATGTCATTATGATAGAACTAGACATATATCTCCTGGCACCATTTTAAAAACATAATAAATAAGTGTTTAAAGTTGGTGAAAACTCGCAAGCTTAATGTTCACAAACTTCCTCTAAAATCAATGGTTGTTTTTATGAAAAGGAAGAAGCTGAAGAAACTAGAACCACAGCACTCCCATTCGGCCAAATACTTGTCAACTTAACCGATGCAACTTCAATAGTCTTGAAAACTGGCGACCACATACAGTGCGGTGGTAGGGGGATGAAGGCTGTGGAAAATTTGTCAAGATGTGTAGTATAAGATCGACCTCGTTGTCCTTTCAGAAACTTATTATAATAGAAATTGCCATGTCGGGCAATAGTACTTTATCATGGTCATCAGTCTGAGTACGATCGACCATGGATGAAGTAGTTCAGGTAGCTCGCACCATTTATTATAAAGTTCGATTAACCCTCAGAGTTTTACTGCCTATGATTTACAATGTTTTCTTGCAAATATCTTTCGTTTTAAATAACATTTAAAATAACTAAATATTTAGTATTGCTTACATAAGATGCTTCAGTAATATATTGTTCAGATGCTTTGGTTAAAGGCATCTAGAAATTTTTAATGCTGTTTAATGTTTTATTTGTCGAATAGTTTATTTAAATTTAACACACAGATATCAACACATCATATTGAATCTCGCAATTATAAGACTTTTAAGAAGTTTTCTAAGATACAGATTAACAGATGTCCGTAAAGAGCTGAATTGAATGTATTCGACCTTGGATTTTAATTTGTAGAACAAATTATAACTTAAATATTGTTTGTACTCGTAGCTTGCATATTTATTCTTTTTGTTGTTGTTGTTGGACAGGTTAATATTTTAATAAAGATTAGAAGTCTAGATATTTGCATGGTGATTTATTTTGTTGTTATGGGTGGAATGATCTTAAACCACCTGTCGATCGTTATGTTGATTTACTTAGGACTACATTTTTATTTGAGAATGTGCTGATAGTCCACATGTGACTGGCCTTTTTTAGTATATAGTATGTACATTAAGTTAGATAGAAATTACCTGCTTTCAAAGGATTTAGCATGTTTGTTAAGGTAGATAGAAACTAGATGTATTTCCGCAGGGTTCCCGACAGTGTTCTGTTTCAAGAGTAAATAAAACCAACATTAAGAGTAACAAATAATTTTATTTCTTGCTTTTGAAGTTCATATGTCATGCTGTGTTGTAGTCTAAAGAGTGTATAATTCTTCTCGTAATTCATGGTACAGTACCAATTGCAACGTTAAGCGTCCCTTATGTGACGTCATTTTAGTGTATACTGGCAGACAGAAAGCACACTACTGTATATTGGTGCGAGTGGTTAAAACAGGTGATCCCTTCAGGCGGCCTTTGGCCCCCTTTCAGGGATATTACCTGATCCAAAGGATATAACATGTGTATTAAGGTAGATAACTGCCTGCTTCCACAAGATATAACATGTGCATTAGTATGAAAAACGTACCTTTCAATGTGACTTCTTCGTTAACTTTCTGGCTCAAGTTATACAGTCTGCATGAATGGAGATAGTAATTTTTATATAGCATAATGCATTGTTGAACCCGAGATTAGCCATCCGATGTTCCATGACGTTAGATGGAGTATTACATTCATTTTTTATAATTGTTTCTTTTCTACTGAGATTGAAGGGGGGGGGGATAATGTTACTGTAGACATTTGTATTGAAATACTTGTTCGTTCGTAATATACTGCTACTGACACCTAGGACATTTTGATCTTGACATAATTCTAGAATCTCAATTAAAACTGCTGCTCTGTAGACAACCGTATAATATGGAATTACCCAAACGCATAGTTTACCCTGACATATATTTCGAAAATTATAATTGCAACTTAATCCTAATTTGTACAGAATAAGTTGGATTACACATTTTTTTTGGTAGTGTACGTCCAACATTCGCACAAGGCTGATTTTACATTGGGTTTTATTTTCAGTCGTCTAAATACACTTCATAAAATTTAGTTGTTAAAAATGTATATTAACTTAACCACATACACTCCAAACAAACAACACGCATCGACTGGTGGACTGAAAATTAAACTACTTTTCGTAACCAGCAATTTTGCTGATTTATTGTTAATACAGGCATTATTATTATAATAATAATAATAAAATTACTCGTAACAAATACAGTATACCGTTTCGCAAATGATATTACCAAAACAGGAAAAATCAGTGTTTATAGTTTGTTTGGTTATTGCTAAGCGCAAAGCCACACACTAAGCTATTTGTGCTGCGCCCACCACGGGTATCGGAACTAGATTTTTTAGCGTCATAAGTCCAGAGACTTGCCGCTAAGCCACTGGGGTGCAGCGTCGATAGTAGAATTCATCACACGACAAAGAATTTTTAAATTACATGTTCAGTTAGTACCTAGTCTGTTAAATATGTTATTCATCTATAGGCGCTGCCATAGTAATTATAGTCAGACTTTCTAAGCAAAGCAACCATAGTGTTGATGTTGATATTATTGCATAAAAATCAGTTCCCATTATTCCATCCTCGCTTGCCCAATTTTACCATGTTCATATTATTTTTGCGCACATGTTCATATTTTGTAAGTATACAAGTTACGTGTATGAAGGACGTCCTTGAAGGTTGCCCT